ATTTTTTGATAATTGGATCAAATTCTTCCAAAGTAATTGGTGAATTTAGTTTATCTTGTTGTTGATTGGTAAGCTTCTTGTGGTAATCTTGAAGATAAGATTTGATCTCCTCATCATCTGGTGGATTGGATGGTTTTGAATAAATTTCTTCATAGAATCCTCTCAAAATATCCATAATTTTAATAAAATCATTTTCAATTTCATTACTTGTTGGATCAATTAGTTCTTCAATAATTGTTTGTTGTTGCTGCTTGTGATATAACTTATTCAAAACTTTATAATCACAATATGATATAGGGGTAGATGAAGCTAATTGTTCCTCTCTATGTTGTTGTGAAATTTCAGCTGATGATAAGGTTCTTTTGTTCAACAAGTGCCTTAATTTTTGAATGGTTTGAGCCTCTCTGCTAAGATTGCTAAAATAAGACGAAGCTCTGCTGCCAATTTCTGGATATTTATTATCATAGAACTGAGGATTTGATTGAATTCTGTTAAGCCATTCATCAGGGTCATCTGGGTTGGTTGAAGAATATGTTGACTTCAGTAACGTGAAGCGTGGTTTTCCCACTTGATTCTTTAAAGTTGCCAATGGATCAATGTGAAGATTCAATTTGATTGGCTTATGAGTTGAGTAATATATTGAATGATCCATAGCCTGATGTTCCAATGTTCCTTTAAGTGATTTTAAAGAATCAGAGATATAGATGCGATCCAAACGTCTGTTGGCGTTTCTAGTTGCTGTGCTCATATTGGTAAACCTGTCTGATAAAGAAGCTGTTTTAAATGCCTGATGATTGAAAGTATCAATCAAGTTTAGATCCTTGACTATAGCTTCCAAAAAATGTTCACCTTGGTTGTTGCTGAGATCCAAGTTGCGTTGAATTGATGAATCTTCAGGGTTTAAGATATTGTTGAAGTCTCCAAGTACACAAATTCCTGTGGTAGGGGCCAATCCCCTGAACCATGGGACAATAACCTCATAGAGATTCTGGTAAAAACCTCTTTGTCCTGGTGTTGGTGCATAGATGTTGATTATATGAATATGAGTGTATGATTGAAATTGAGCAGGTAATTTAATTGTGAAGTCATCTAAATGAGCTTGATATTCTGCTGCTAGTTGTCTTGAAATAACTCCTGTCTCTGATGGATTGAAGTTATTTGAAATGATAGATTTTGCTTTGGATTTATATGATCCTGTTATAGTGCAATTGTTTTGATATAAGTGTGATCTAATATCCTCGAAGCATGCTTCATTTTGGAGCTGTGCTTCTTGTATGGAGTGCAAGTGGAAAAAGTTGTTATTGCTGAATTCGGTACTTATAATGTTATTAATGAAATTTGTATTTGGTGATATGATTGCTCTTTGAATATTTGAGCTCTTTATGCTAATAGTTGATTGATAGTTCATAAAGACATATTTGTATCTGAAGAGGAGCTGGTTGTTTCATTGTGCTCTTCTCCTAAATTGGTTTCTTTATTATTTTCATTTTCAAATTCAGATTGAGATTTTTCAGATTCAAATGTGGGTTCATGTTCCCTAGGGTTTGATGTTCCTATGGGTTCATTGGGAGGTTTTCCATTCCCAGGATAATTAGATGCAGTAGCATCACCGGTGGAATGGTTGGTGGTATTGTTGTTGGTGATGTTGTCACCATCTTTTGAAGATAAGTCTTCATTGGTGGATTGTTGAGCAATATCCTCCATAGTGGAGTCCATGGTTGATTCACTAGTGAAGTTTAACTCTTCTTCTAAGACAGTTGTGGTGTTTTCATTTGAACCAAGATTTGTTTCATTTAATTCATCAACATGTGCACTTTTTGAAGCATTTTGATCCATTTGGTTGGCGTAAGCCAGTGCTTCATCAGCTGTCATTTGAACATTTGTATGAGTTTTTATATTCCCTGATATGGATCTTTTGGCCTTCTTGGTTGGTGATGTAACATTAAAGTTGAAACTGCTTTGAGCAGTGGTGAAACCAGCTTGAGAAGAATGATCTTCTTGAACATCATTGAATGTGTCAAAAATGTTACGATGGTTGTTAGTTGATGGTGCAGCTGGAGCTCTTCTAGGTCTAGATGTTCTCTTTGGTGTTTGAAATTGATTACCGGCATTGTTTTGTCTAGTGTTTGATGAACCACTAAAGGCTGGAAAGTCTTCTTCATTATTGTTCATAGTTGGATTAGAACCTGTTGGATTAGAACCTGTTGAATTTGAGAAATTAAAACCAGGGAACTTTGATGAAGTCTTCTTTTGCACACGACATTTGGATACATGATGGTCAATTAACCCACAGTTGGAACAAGGTTGGGTGCATTGCGACCGGTAATGACCAAGAGAAAAACACTGAGTACAGAAGTTTAAATGGGATAAATTGAAGCATTTGATGACATTTTTATAAGAGGAGATGGGAACTTTATTGTCAGTCAATTCTAAGA